CAGGGGCCTTAGGATTTGAATTAATTTCGACCAATCAGGAGGCTGCAGGGGTAAGAATAGGTGTGACCGGTACTTGTCCTCAAAAATAGGATTTGTGCATGTACTGTAGACCTATAATCAGTTGACCCATATGAAAAAGTAGATAAGAAAATATTATATACTGTCTCTTTGATTTATAGCCTCAGTTAACGGGTTGTATAAGTATGCCAACCGACGGCGACTGACTTCCTTCCACTTCCACCTTTTTATTGGTATGAAATAGTCATAACGTCCTGGGGCTAGTATTTTAAAAGTAAGTGGGTCATCTGCACCGGACTGGCACAGTGTACAGTAGGTGCAACCAGCTCCAGCCGGGACCGTGATTATGTAACCCAGGGTCGAGCCGTGGGTGTGCGGGCTTATCTTTGGTCGAGCCTGAGTTAACCAGACATCTGAAAAAAAACACAGTAACAGTCTAATACCTGCACACACACACACACACACACACACACACACACACACACACACACACACACACACACACACACACACACACACACACACACACACACACACACACGGCCGAAAATAGAGCAGATCTGAAAGTGTGAGAGGGAAAGCTGCGAGGATTAGAAGCACTTTGGTGTCAATTTGAAAAGCCGCCTACTCACACTAATGTCTGATTGGCTGCAGGTCCCTGTTTTAGACGAGTGGGAGCCAGCTGTGATAATAATGTAAAAAGACGTGAGCAGAAAAAGACAAATGTGGATGCAAACGAACACACAGTGGCGTATTTATTGGATTAAAAATGACATATTGTGCGTCTTTTTGTCATGTTGTGGGTGGATCATTTTCATATTGAACAGTTCGCTCGATGTTGACCTACATTGAATAATAGAAAAAAAGTCGTCTCCGAATACTGGTTTTCAACTTCTGCCAGAAATTCTATCAACATCGAGGTGGTGCGAAAAATCTCGTTCATTTGTGCCGAAATGCCTCAATTTGCAAATAAACAAACATAATCAGCGTATAACAGTGGAAATTAAACTGAGTTATCACAGTGTTAGCCCTAATGCGGAGGAAGCTGATTTGAACATAAGCTACTGTAGCTGGAGCCAATTTCCTTATATGGGCATTTGTTCTGACGTAATTACCATTGCGGCATAACAGGGGATCACATGTTGCTAAGGTGGTTGCTAAGGCAATTGCCCTGAGAATGAAGGCGTCTGATTGGACCATCCTTATGACTCATATCTGGATTTACAAAGACAATATCAAAGTATAAACACCAGGATTTATCAGGTTTAACAGAGAGCGATAAACCACGGGTATTTTAAGCTCAAAATGGTGACTCTAACACAAACAGTTACTGAGCGAGAGGAGTTTGTACTTTTCAATGGAAATCAATAGGAGTCAGAGGGAGTTGGAGCAAAACTTTGCCCATGAGCACTTCCCTATTGGGCTTCATTGAGCTACCAGGCTTAGCATTGTCCAACCATATACAGTCTATGAGACAGACAGTGTTCATAGACTGTATATAGCCACCCCCCCAAAAAAATACCTGACACTGTAGTCTTATAACTTAATATAGGGTTAGGGTTCGCTCGTACAAGTTGATTTTGCTTCTTGCTTTTTCAAAACAGTTTGGCGCTATCACTAGTTTTCACACGGATGCATTTTTTTGGCTTCTATCACGTTTTCAGATCACTTTTTTCAGACAGAAAAGTAAAAGACGACCACCCTCATTCAGCCAATCAGCTCTCAGTACATTGTGTAAAACGTATAGATAGATTATTTGCCTTAATCTGTTATAAATCTTATTAATGTTCTTGTCTGGTGCACACTGGGGACTTTTGCGCATGTATTCCACTGTGGTTTTACTGCAAATACCAAATAAAATGAATCTGAATCAGTTTATTTGCTTGTTTGGTCATTTCTCAATGCATACACCGATCCCTGCTCTGGCCCTTGTGTCACGGGGTGAGCTGAGTGAGGACTCAAATGCAGGAGTGCCAACATAAAGCTTTTAATAAAACAAAGTCCAAGGCAAAAAACAAACTCCAGAAATCCAAAGTAACCAGGACAGAACATGACAAAACAATGAAGCAGCAACAAGGGGAGAGAAGCAAAGGGTACATATAGACACAGACACAGGTGAAACACATCAGGGTGGGGCAGACAATCAAGACAGGGGAAAACAGCACTGGAAGTCAAACTGAAACAAAACCACAGAACTCATTTCAAAATTAAAGCAAAATACACAATCAAAAGCCACACCATGACACCTTGGCTCTCTCTGCTGTCCCACTGTCCCCTGTTCCCACTGTCCAGCTCTGGCCTGGGCTCTGCTCAGTTGGCCTCTGTGTGACTGGAGCGGGGATCCCTGCCAACAGCCAATAAACACCTCCGCACCCGGCCACGCCCCCCCGCCGTGCCGCACCGTGTTAATTGTGCAGTGGGTCATTAGACGGCGCTCGGGCCTGTGGAGGAGCTGGACTGACCACTGACCTCCAGTTGGACCGAGAGGCTACCGCAGCGAGGACTGGGCCTGTCATCAAACTGACGGCAGCAGGAGCTAAAAGCAGCGTGTGCATGAATATTTATAAGGGCTAATAATACTGACCTACTAACCGCATTACATTTGACAGAAGTTACTTGAAGAGGAAAGTCTGATCAAGTCTGGATATTGTGTGAGAAAACATCGAGAGTGAAGAGATTTAGTGGTTTGGTTTGTTTGATGGGTTTGCTCAAAAAAGTAAAAGTCATGTTCAAGTGCTGAGTGCTTAAGTGCTACAGTATGTGCCAAGAAGAATTGTCACTCAAACATCAATAAGAACACAAAACGTACAGGGAAAGGCTGTTTATGCTACAGATGTGCTTCCAATGTAAAAATCAAAACACAAGATTCCACTGTTTGTTATACTGTCATAAAATCTAAAAAATAAATCTTTTCTATTTTCAAGTCATATTTAAAATGGGTTTAAGCTGATCTGGGGAGATATCGAATTGACAGCTCATGCAAGGCGGCCCAGGACTTTACAGGGAGCTTTTTTGCGAAGAAAAAGGATTGGCTTTACCACCAGAGAGAATAAATAATCTTTTTCACAATCACTCCAAGCTGTCATAGATGTTAAAGAGGCAATATTGGGAACTGGGGGATGGAAACTTATAATCAGGGTTTGTTTGTTTCTGTTGTTTATAAAAAAATTGACAATAGAAAACACATCTGTTTGACAATAAATGGATGCTCACAACCAGAATGAGAAAAAAGTGTTGTCCTTTATACTCTCAAATTTAAGGCAACAAAAATAATAAAATAAAAATGTCTGGCTGGTTTTAAGCACAACTGTATTTAGATTCTTTCTTGATCTCCCGCAGGATAATTCAGGTCCAGCCGCAGAAACACATCCATCCATAGAAACATCAATAAATACATCATTCTTAAAGTTACCAACAATAGTAACGAACACATCGCCGCATCAATCAATCAATCAATCAATCAATCAATCAATCAATGAACAGAATGTGAAGCAACCCAAGTGCTTCACATTGGCAAGATTTAAAACCAATTTAAAAACACACTGTAAAACACATACAAAGGACAATTCACCCACTCATTTCATTCAGGCCTATTGTTCATGTTTTGGTGGTAGGGGAAACCAAAGCACCTGGAGGAAACCTAAGCAGACACGGGCAGAACATGCAAACTCCACACTGAAATGCCTGGAGTTGGAATTGAACCCACGACCTTCTTGACACAAGCTCTAACCACTGCTCCACTTTGAATCCCACATTTACAATTTGTGTATAACTTTTATATGATTGTTCATTCATTTGTGTTGTGCAAATAAAATAAATAAAATAAATAAAATAAATAAAATAAATAAAATAAATAAATAAATTAAATAAATTAAATACATACAATAAATAAAATAAATAAAATAAATAAAATAAATAAAGTGAATCCTGGGCCTTCCCCTGGTCCAGTGCATCTCCCCATTTGTTGTAAAACGTGCGCAGAGTTTACGTGTGAGCGGGTTGCTGCAGGACAGAGGCGTCTCAGTGATTTATGATGACTCAGTGAGCAGCGCATTGGGGCCACAGATGGACAGGTACGGGGCCACTGGGACTAGCTAAAGTGCGGTTATAGGGAAGTGGAAGTCTAGGGTAATAATAAAGACACTAGCCACCGGTCACCTGTGTCCGTGAGGGTCTGAGGGGGTCTGAGGGTGAAGCAGGAGATTTATGAGTCAGGACCAAAGCGGGACAATGGTCGGTCTATTGTTTGGTGTGGTGACAGATAGCACGTTTAAAATGTTGAGTTATACCTGTTTTCTTATTGTAGACACGTGTTGTTGAGTACTGTTTAAAATGCTGCATCGGCCTGAGACAACAGTGGTAAAAGTTGTTGTGTTGTTTGGACCCGTGTCGACTTTTTTCTACAAGAAAGACAGGAACGTCACAGTAAAAGGGTCAACAACCAAACAAACTAAAGTCACATTGTATAATGGCTTCCTTAGATGGCAGTAAGTTTATCATTCATGTAGAGCACTTTTTGATCCCCGTAGGGCAATTCATCCTTTGCATTTGATCCATCCTGATGCCGCTAAGGCTTACGTCAGTAGCAGTGCTCGCCATGAAGAACTTTATGAACACTTATGGACATTTATGGACTCTATCCTCTCCCCATGGATGTGTTGGTATTATTGATACATTTCCTGTGTATGAACTGTTTTCTGATCTGTTGTTGTAGTATTGACAACTTAGTGAAGTCCGACGAGACGACTGCTGTTGTGATTTAGGGCCATACTCAAATATATATAAATGAAATAAAATAGTCAGAAAGTTTTGTCTAATAACCACTGTATTTGGTGGGGAGTGTGAACACTGAACACGGCTAGCTAGCATATCTTAGCATATCTTAAATAATAATCTTGACTTGGTGATGACCACATTTTTTCTTTCTTCCCGTTACCCTCTTCCCGACGGAATGCACACTATTGAAGGCATGCATTTGGGGGTCACAGGTCACAGCACGTACAGTGGCTGGATACTCCGCCGTCATTCCCACTCAGCACAGCACTAAAATTCGAGCCCACTTTAGCCACCAGCAGATGAGCGCCTCTGCACCGGATCCGGCCTGTGACCCGTGCGGCAGGCCTGGAATGAGTGTGTTTGTGGCAGGTGAGAAGACGAGCCGCCGGACACACAGGGATCCTGGGTACCGCCGCTCCCAGAATTCCCACCTCTGGCTCCAGACCCACTGCTCCGGAGCGCCGGGAATGTGCAACCATCTGGACTCTGCCAGGGAGTGAAAGGCAACGCCGGCACCCGTATAGAGCGCACTAAAGGAACCTCTCTTCTCTGGACTTAAACACGGAAGCGATTTTATGGCATGATTTAATGGGAATGGCTTTCCAAGATTGCGTTTGTTTATGGTGCTTATCTGGCAAGTTTATTTATGCCTGCATTTATACCCATAGTAGTGGTGAAATACAGTATCTATGGCTGCTCTACGTGTCCACATGCTAGCTGTGCTTCTATATCACATCTCAGACCAACGCTGTAACGATGGGGAAAAATTTCTTCCTGATTTGATCAAAGTACTAAGATAAAAGCTCGACGTCTTCTTGACCGCAACCACTTAACACATTATCAGACTTTCAATCAGGAAACAGGATATCTCTTAAGCTCTTGATGAAAAGATTTGCTGCTTTTATTGATCCGTCCAAATCAAATCAAACATTAAACCAAAGACTTGTTAGTAACAGACTTTCTGAAGAATCTGCAGAGTGATTTTTAATGTATCTTTGTGACAGAATCGTTCAAGGATCTGATGTGACGACCTGTGCTCAGATGCTCTCCCTGTCGCTCACGGGGTGCCACAGGGATCTATATTGGGCCCGCTGCTTTTTACAGTTTATATCGACGACAATGAAATATGGAACATGCAAGCTGTCCTTTTTTATACAAATCACAAAGTTAACTTACTTTGCTTCACTTTCAATGTTGTTTCCCTTATGTTTAGTGAAGTTAAGTCATGGTTTATTGTCCTCATAAGTAAATTTGTCCTCTGTATTTGACCCAGTCTGCAATGCCACTTTGGTCCCTGTCAGGAGCAGTGGTCGCCATAGTGCAGCGCTTGGACTATAGAGGTGGAGGATATTGCTTGTGATAAATCTTACCAACCTATCTTTCCCAATTTGCTACACAACTGTTGAACACACATTTGAACGACATCTTTCTATGCCTTGTTCAATACCCCAATTCTTAATTACGGAATTAAAGAAGTTTGCAGATCAAATTCTTGCTCGAACATGGTCATACTACTCTTGTATCCTTGGGCAATACACTCGATCCCTCCGTCAGTCTATCCCATTGTATAAGCTTCTCAAAGTTGCTCCAAAAGGCAATACTAGTAAATACAGTATGCTTGCCTTCGTCTGCAGCAGGCCTACTCTGCTGGGCGTCTCTCCCCACTCCCCACCTCAGACCACACCGCTCACTGTCCTTTCCAGTAACCGTCTGAAGCAGAAAGTGAATTCATAAAACTGTGGATATAACTGCCTTATGTCTAATTATGTAGCCCATTCTATTTGCAATCGAAAGCAGCTGTCCAGATGTTTAAAGACCTCCGCTCTTCTCTGCAGTAGCATGCACACATTTTTATCCAATTATCAAGGAAATGAAACGCTTGTGATTCCTCAGACTCCTACCCTTTTGTCTGTGTATTTGTCCTGCTAATAGGAACATTTTTTACTCTGAAATGACAAAAAACAGTAGCCGTGAGACATAAGACGAAGGGTTTTGTAAGAACAATGTAAGGCGCATGTGTCACCGGTCAGGACACATTTCAGCTCTGCTCCCATAATCAGAGTTAATAACCACAACAGTCTAATTACAGCCAACAATAGTGATGAGCAGCCTGTCTCAATAACACTGAGGGGGGCCAATCCGGAACAATAGGGGGCCCTGGACCCCCTGACTGTGACTCTCACATCACATAACTCCACACATGGCTGTTATAGACACCGGGAAGCTTTCGGTTTTTAGGTGTTTCTTTTTTTCTTTTGCTCATAATTTTCTTGAAGGAACTCATTAGAAGTCCATGATTATTGGGCAAAGTCCCAGGGTCCAAAAGAAGGTTTGTTTTGTTAAAATGAGCTCCCCAGCTGGGTGGCTACAAGGCTTTAGGCAAATGCTGGCAGTGCATTTCAGAGTACTGCTACACCGCTGTCTTATTTCAGAAACAATTACAACAACATTTATACATTTCTCTTGGCACTTTTGCACTCACACCTCACAGTTGAATGATTCCAATTGGATTTGTCAACCTCTATGAAAAGAAGTCAGGCAAAGGCTAATCCCGACCATCCATCCAACCTTTTTCTTCCGCTTTATCCGTTGTCGGGTCGCAAGCACAAACTGTTGTAATGAACAGAGTTTGATGACAGAAAGGTCCATAATGTGTCTAAGAAAGGATTAATGAGCTAAAACCGACTGTCTGTGGCACACATCCATCAGACTGGAACAGAATGAAGAGGTTAAGAAGTTACAAAGAAATAGAAATAGATGCAAACCACTGTATACTGGACGGAAATGAGTCCTGATATGTTTTTGATAAAATAGTGATGGAGAGAGAGGAAGAGACAGAGAGAGACAGGCAGAGAGAGAGACAGAGAGAGAGAGACAGACAGACACAGAGAGAGAGAGAGACAGAAAGAGACAGAGAGAGATGGGAAGGAGAGAGAGAGACAGACAAACACAGAGACAGAGAGAGACAGATAGAGAGAGAGACGGGAGTGAGACGGGAGTGAGAGAGAGACGGGAGTGAGAGAGAGAGAGAGTCAGAGAGAGACGGGAGTGAGAGAAAGAGAGTCAGAGAGAGACAGAGAGAGAGAGAGAGAGACAGAGAGAGAGAGAGAGAGACGGGAGTGAGAGAGAGAGAGAGTCAGAGAGAGAGAGAGAGAGACGGGAGTGAGAGAGAGAGATAGAGAGAGAGAGAGAGCGAAAGAGATAGATAGAGAGAGAGAGAGAGAGATCAGATTTGCATAATGTGTGTCCTTTAAACCCGTGATAACAATAGCATTTTAATTTATTCTTTGGACGAGTAGAATTTAAAATGTACCTAATGGACTTCAAGCTTTGATCCATTCATTCCATTAACCTAGGCATACAAGGTCGTTTTGGTGAACCTATAGAGAGTCTTTTCAATGTGAAAAAGTGAAATCCATCAGGACACTCACTGAAATTCAATATTTAAAAACCTCGCTGGGTCCCTTTGATCAACCATCACAGCTCATACAGTCTGAAGATGGACCCTGAAGCTTTGGCCCCCAACTGCGACCACAAACTCCCTGATGTGGTCTCCCCTTTTTTTGTCAGACAATTTGCTCCAGAAACACCTTCTCGCTCCGGTCCGATTCTTCCTAAAGGAACATGAAAGCCTTTAGAGTTACGTTCCCAAAAAAAAAAATCAAAAAAAAAAAACACCATTGAAACCCGGCCTGGTGGACTGCACACTGCTGCACACTGCTGCTGCTGCTGCTGCTGCTGCTGCTGCTGCTGCCTTCGGGCTACACTTAACAATGTGCTGTTTCATGTCAGGAACAAAAGAGCCTCGCTAAATCCCCTTGCTCGGGTTGTGGGAATTCCAGGCCCTTAACCTGGTCATTAAACGCCTCGTAATGAAAGTCGGTGAGCACCTTGACTCAGGGATGGCCACAGTAAAGGAACAGGATGTGGTTAGTTGGGAGATCGTGTATCATTTTTATCACATGGCCTAATGCGCTTGAGTGTACAATAACATAGTGCTGTCTGCCTGTGTAATTGTTTTCATGCCTCCGAGCGCGGGTGGCGAGCTAATTTTGTTACATTTGCCTTTGTTATAAGACACATCTGTTATAAGTTGTAACAAATAAATGAGATTGTAGAGGACACAGTAGAAGTTATTTTTAAGGAGAGCGTTATATTTGCCGTCACGCTGAACAGCAAATAGAATATCCAACACAAGAGCCTGCAGCGGGGTTCTTTTTGTAGGAGAAAAGCTGTGCGCGGAAAGAACAAGCAAATGTCCGGATATGCAGAACCAAGATAGAACCTTCAGAACCTTCCTGCTGTGAGGTGCGAGTCAAAACCACTCTGCATCCACTGTGTGTTTACCGTGTCTGGAAATGCAAATCGTCCCATTGGCAAATAATTGGTTGTTTGAGCTTTAACCTGCATGGACAGCAGTGATGGGACCAGCCTGCAGGGGGCGATAGTGAAGGGAGTTGTTGTTGATGGAATTGTTGCTTTCAGCGAGACAACAGTATTACCTCTGCCCAGGAGGTAAAGTGATTACCAGTGTTTGTGTGTTTGTTTGTCTGTAATGAACAACACAGATATGTTGTCTGAGTGTGTCTGTGTGTGTGGAGTAGGGGAAACCGGAGCACCCAGAAGAAACCTATGCAGACACGGGGAGAACATGCAAACTCAACACTGAAAGGCCTGGAGGTGGAATGGAACCCAGGAGACATGCATAATGGCCCAGTGAACAGGTGATATATTTTTATCTATCTATCTACTGTATCTATCTATCTATCCATCTATATCTATACAACTCATTTACGACACAGTCTGAGGAGGAGGCGAGTATCTCTGAGCTCTGACTTTTGGATCCACCTCTCCCTCCTCCATCGATCGCACCTGTAATGGGGTGTTGGAGGACGGTGGAGAGAAAAGCATCATGGGAAATCTGTCCAGTCTTGTGGTTCTGAAAGAGATGAATGCTGAAAAGGAAGTGAGTTTGTGATTTCCAGTATGCGGTAAGTGCACTGACAGTTTGGGCTTTAGAAACCCTTCTTCATGAAGATATACTGCTGTGGTTTTTAATGAAAAAGTCCATAGCGTCGAGACTAACGGACGGCGTGGAGCTCCCGTGTTTGCTTTCATTGACTGCCGCTGACGCATTGAGACAAGCACAGTTCACACACGCTTCAGTCGCCAATTTAGGACCATTTAGTTTCTACGGCTTTTGAAGTGGAAAGAACAGCACCTCTGCAATCATTAAAAAAGTTATTGTACTTTTTCTCGTCTCGGGTTCATCGCTCGGCTACCGGTTTGAAGCCCGGACCCCTGCGCTGCACGTTTAGCCTCCAATAAAGATGCTTTTCCCATAAATGCCTGAATTTTTGTCCCGTTAATGATGCCTGTTCCAAATGGCCCCCAACCAAACTAAACGCTCTCGATTGGCGGCTAATTTATTGGAGACAAGTTCCATGTGGAGATCAAACGGGGCTCTCGAGCTCGTAGCACCTTCGCCGCGGTGAATGAGCTGACCCCACCAACCTCCTGCATACTTCCATAAGGGCCACGAGAGGCCAGAAGAAGCCAGAACCAGGACTGAGCTCACATGAGGTTTGCGTTTGAGCCTGGAGCCCAATAAATCAGCCACTTAGGAAATGTTCTGTACACAGTAGCAGGCTGCACATGTGAACGGGGCGACAGGCAGAGACGGGGCAGCTGTGGCCTTTATACTCACTGTGTTTTATGATAGTCACCTAAAGTTGTAACAAATACTGGCATTGTTATATATACCTAAATTCTCTTTACTCTTGTTGTTTTGTGTAACATTTAACAAATTGTTCAAAACATATTCAAATATAAAATTAAAATAAATGTTTTTCCAAAGACAAATGTCCTCGGCACAGAGTGAGTGATGTGCGGTGTAGGGACAGAGAGTGTTTTGAGCCTGTGTGTTGTGTGTGCATTTGTGTGTGTTGTCTGCATGCGTGTGTATGTGTTGTGTATGCATGTGAGTCTGTGTGAGTGTTGCCTGTGTGCATGTGTGTCTGTGTGTGTTTGCCTGGGTACATTTGTGTGCATGTGTGTCTGTGTTGTCTGCGTGCATGTGTGTTGTCTGTTTATGTGTTGTGTGAGCATGTGTGTCTGTGTTGTCCGCGTGCATGTGTGTTGTCTGTTTGTGTGTTGTGTGAGCATGTGTTTCTGTGTTGTCTGCGTGCATGTGTGTTGTCTGCATGTGTGTGTTGTGTGTGCGTGTGTGTGTGAGTGCTGAGGACATCTCTCTCCATGTATGAAATCATGTTTTTCATTCATCTGGTAAGTTCTATAGCAACCCGTCGCACTGAGAAACACATTGTTTTGAAAGTATTGTAAATATAAGCAGATAAATCTTTAGCTTCCTCTTTGTCTTGAATATGGTGAGCACCTCTATTTTATTCCAATTAGCCTCATTAAAAAGACTGTCTGGTGTCTTTTGTTTTGGACGTGCTACAGTGGTCCAAAGCTAATCAGTGAGCCGTCTTCCTTTGCTCGAAACTTTGACATTCATGGACATTAATTAACATTTACACTCATTGTCCTGCTGGGCCAATGGCTGCTCCGAGTTTGTTATCATTCTTTTTTTCTGTATTCGAAGTGTTTGATTCTCTGATCTATTGTTGGCAAAATCGTCAACTTGGTAAAATCTCCGTATAGTCGTCTGCAAAACAAGGGACAGGGTACATACGATTCTATTCCTGTCTGCTTATGCTGCACAGATGTCAAGACCATTTTTATGATTTATGTCACATGGACTAACAAACAAATATATGCAAGACTTAATTTCTATCTCCATAGCAATCAGCACGAGTCAAGGTTACAGGTGAGGTCTCTGGAGAGGCATCCCCGATCACAGAAAGGATTCGACTGTCAGAATGTGAGACTGTCAGACCTCACAAACACCAGAAAGCCTTCAGTACAACTTTACATCTTCAAGTTGAGGTGTCAGAACGGGCGCTGGGTGTGAAGGAGGCCCCAGGGTTAAAGGGTGAGCCTTAAACAGGAGCCCACGGGGGCCCACATGTTTTGTAAACCGAGCCATGTGTGAAGGAGAGACAGGGGATGGCACTTCCACCGACTCTATGTGACTCACGACCAGAAATACCCATAAAAACGTTGATGTCTTTGCTATCTTTTCCCAGGGCTGAGAGTCTGTGTACAGCCGTGTCTGTCTGAAACTCTACACGCATCACTCTTGAGGGACAAGGGCGCATGGCTTTCTTGGAAACACTAGTGATGCTTCTCCTAAGTTGGGACACATTCACACACAGATTTATGAAGTTGTTTTGGAGACTGGCTTGACAGTTTTTCAGTGCAGGACTCACCGGTGCTGGGAGTAACATAATATTATCTATATCTATGTCTACCTGAAGCTTGGAGCTGAAATCTCCCTCATGGGGGCATCGCTATCACTTGGTTTGAGGCATTTTTACCAACAAGCAGCATCTCAACCATTTGGTAGACTATTATTAAAAAAATGGGGTTCAAATTATGATAATTATTTAAAAAAACAAAGACAACAGACATTTTAGAAAATCAAAAATAGAAAATTCTTCAAGGAGTGAACATTAGCAGGTTGAGGACATTTTTTTGTATAATTTTTGACTGGTAAAAATGATGATGAGACTTTTGCAAGTATGAAGGGGAAAAATTGCCTGCCACAGTGATTAAAAAATATTCTAAATATCTGTTTTACGAGCTGAAAAACAGATATTTAGCTGCAGCCCTGGGTCTAAAATGGTCTACTTTACTTTTAGTTACTGTGGCAGTTCTTTTTGACCCAGAGATAGCACTTGACCCAAGTATGGTTTGTGTCATGCCATTTTTATCTTTTCAATTGTATTATTCCCCAGTCTGTGACATTTTGGTGGTGGGAATCAAGTTTATGATTTGCTCACATTGCAAAAAAAGCCATATTTATACCAGAATACACAGTGAATAACCCTTAGTGGCTGGATTCCATTTGTGAAGTCTGCGGGTCCGGGTTTTTGGTGCCGTGGGTCAAGTAGAGCCAAAGGTCGGCACAGGCTAAGCAGAGCAGTATGTGTGTTAAAGTGGACGACAAAATGCCTTTCGGATGCTTCACGCCGCCTAATACAAACACCACATCTGTTAAAATACTCCAAATAACGGAAGGATTTAATGAGGTGGAGAAGTATTTGTCATTGAAATCCTTTCATGTGTCAGTGTGGCCTTGGAGCTGATCCTACGCCCGCGAGAAATCACTGGGGACTCACATTTCCATAGATCCGACTGATGAAGGACCTGTTACTGTCACTGCTTGTTTACCCAGATATGTTTAGTTATGGCAACAAAATGGCATCTGTCGACATTCTCTTTACTTTTTTTACTTTTTCTAATTATTTAACGTTATAAATGAAACACAAAGAGACTAATGTCCTCAAAGAGTGAGTGATGGAAGGGAGGTGTAGGGGCAGAGAGTGTTTTGGGCCTCCTGTTTGTTGTCTGATCGTGTATGTGTTTGTGTGTGTTGTGTTGTATGAGTGAGAGGAGTTTAACCCCTTTTTTTCATCTAACCCCGTTAGCGTGATTAGGAGTGATTTATTCTGAATGCTAGGCGGTGCCAGCATCTCTGATCCTGGACGTGTGACTTGGAACTTTATATATGTGTGACTTGGTTTCCTACATCTGCTCTGGGCTGGGTTTCAGGCCAGGGGGAGAGTGTCCAGTGTCAGGTTGTGGGTTATGGGCCCACTAGGCTACAGGTGAACGCCTTCACAAAGAAATTGGTCAGATACGAGAGAAGCCGTCGTTCAATGTTTCATGACAAGTCTGAAGTTGTAGACTCTGAAAAAAGCAGACTTGCATTTTCATACTGGAGATGGTATCGTGTCATAAGCCAACTCATCAAATGGTGAGTGCCGTATTATACTTCGCCTTCGGATAGTAAGTGATTCGTTTATTGAAACAAATAGGAAAAACTGGCATTCTAAAACATGTAAGCCATTGTTACAGCCGCAGCCGCCCCACTGGTGTAGGCATCTGGTGTTCCAAAAGGTCTCCCATCACAGTACTAACCAAACCCTGCCCTGCACAGCTTCAGAGGTCTGACGGGATCTGACTTTCACCTGCAGGTACAAAAACAAAAGAACCTAACCATAAGATTTCCTTTGAGAACCAGAAAAAGGCTTCCATTCATCTCAGTTTGACACCATGTGGAGCTGCTTTAGTTTGCTTTCAGACCAACACATAGTCTTGCATTTGTCTGAAAACCATCGATTCTATTGGGTTCTGGTGCTAACTGTTTGACATACATGACCTTTTATACATCATGAAACCGGTATCATTCATGGTCCATCCCAAATATGGACAATGACCACATGGTGTTCTGTATGATTGGCCTGCGAGTGCGTGGCTCCCATTACACAACTCAACTCCACTGTCACATGCGCCGGACCCTGTGCTCGCGCCGACCAGAACACGGTAAATATAGGAGTCGCAGAAACATTCCCGTGCGACCAGCTACACTTTCCACGGCATCAGCCACGGAAACCGAATCCCCTTGGGCTCCGACACCGCACCCTACGGCCCCCATCGCGGACACAGGACATGGGGCCAACACTCTGCAGGGTCACGGCTCTCACATGGAAGCGGCGGGTCAGAGGGTTTGCTCACAGAGAGGGTCCGGTCCTGTTCCCGCTGCGTGCTACTGCTGCTGCTGCTGCTGCTGCTGACACTGGGATGACATCACCAGGGGAGGGGGGGGAGAGGAGGGGGGACCCATTGTCGCACTCTTTATTTTCTCTGAGGGAGCGTTGAAATGTTGCACACAAAGGCCGCGCTGCGCTCCTATCTGCACATCTGAGTGGACGCAGCACTTTTGGAAATCCCTAACAAGATTAGACCACAGTGCCATCAGCTGTCATCCACGGGCCCTTTCCACGAACGCGCACAAAAAGCACATAAGCCCCGGGCCCAGGACACACAGCGACGCCACTGATGCGCCCTTTCAATCCAAACCATACATTCCATTGCAATTGAAAGGTGCTGCTTGGTGGCTTTGTCAATGTTTGCTTTTCTGTTTTTATTGTCTTGTAATGAGGCGCGTACGGTTTGTTAGGCAGGTAAATGGAAGCTGCTGCGATCTGGAACTTCTGTTGGAGAAAAAGTTACAGAACAGATAGTTTATACAATGGTGAGGTATAGGCGTACTGTATATACAAGTACTGTACAACTACTGTACTTTACAACCTACACTGACTTTGTTCAGCAGCATTAAATTAAGAAAGTTTACATAATAACTATAGAAAAATAGGACAAAAAATTAAGCATTGGTTTTATACAGTCTTTTTGTGGACTGTATAAAAAAGGAATGAAGAACACCATTCTTCATTCACTTTGCACACGGTGGTGATAAACTACCACAGCTGTCTCACACACACACACGCGCACACAAAGATAAACTGTGGCCGAAGTGTCTTGCCCAAGGACACAACAACAGTTTGAAACTAACCAGGCCCTGTCATAATCAGGCTTTCACAGGCAGCACCAGATTTTGCAAAACATTACAGCATTAATTTGTGAAATTTGAATGATAAAGTTAAGATCAGAGAGAAATGTGTCCTCTGCATCTGACCCATCCTCTGTCAGGAGCAGTGGTCGCCATCCGGGGTCCGTCTACAGGTACAGATCTATTGAACATGTTTGAAGTGGTTGGGGCAACTGTAGCACCCGGAGGAACCCTACACACAGAACACCACATACCGCCCCATTGTGTACGTCATGCAGGGGGTTCATTCTACGGTCAGAACTGTGGACCTCATGTTTTCAATGAAGGCTTTTATAATTACTTTTTTCCTTTACACATGTCTGATTGTGAGCTCAGTGAAACCAATAATTGTCTAAGAAGTCAAACTACTATACATCAAAATACAGGCACTGTATACCGGGCGGCACGGTGGCTGAGTGGATAGCACTCTCGCCTCTCAGCAAGAAAGTCCTGGGTTTGAATCCCGGCCGGACCAGGGCCTTTCTGAGTGGAGTTTGCATGTTCTCCCCGTGTCTGCGTAGGTTTCCTCTGGATACTCCGGTTTCCACTACCACTAAAAATATGTACAATAGGTCCTACTGTTCGGCGACCCCGCTCCCATCTCTGTGTGGAGTGAGAAGTGCCCAAAAAATGACAATTGTAAACCGCTTTGTGACTCTGGTCTGTGAAAGGTGGCCACCTTTATTGTTGATTATTTGTGGCATGAGCTTTGGTGTGTTCGATCTGCTCTGTCGTCTTGCACAGTTTTTCCAATGGGGTTTTGCTGCAAATGGCAAATCAACTGAATCTTGAATCTTGATGCTTGATAAGTTTGCTCAATCAAGTTAAGACACTTCTGTAAATCTCTCTTTACCACACTCACAGCTCATTCAGTATGTTGGTCTTTTCTGGCTCCTGCTGCTGCTTCCGCTTCTGCTGCTGCTGCTGCTGCTGCTGAGGTCCAGATGTTCCCCACAGACTCTGGGCTCACAGCAGCTTCTGTACCCTCGTAACCCAGCGGAGGAAGCTTCAACATTCTCCCAACCCACTCCTCTCCATCTCAGCTTTTGTTCTCTGCATAGCAACACATGTAACGCTTTCACACACGGGAGCAGAGGCTGTTGCTACGTTAAGCCTCTCCTGCCTCACGTCAGTCTCCAAAACACACACACACACACACACACACAGGTAAACGTGCTTCTGCTCGGGATTTCTAACACTGACTTTGCAGAAAAAAAAGTCTCTGCGTATATGTTTATGTATGGCGGCGGCCTAGCTTGATTGCACCAGGTTGCCATGACGACACATACCTACATAGGTGAGACTGTGAGAAAGGTAAACAGCTGATAAGACTTTACAGATACAGAACGGATCTAGGTGGATTTCACCTCATATTTTTAAACCTCTTTCCCTGTTTTCATATATCTGATTTGTAAGTGGGCTTTTTCAACAGTCAAATTGAGTCCCATAGCAGTCAATTTGACGGCTTTTAGTCTTGGAAATGCAATAACTCAGCTCATTTGTGTTGTGCAGAAATGTGTGACTTTTTTTGCATTATTTCAAGTCATATTCACCAGTTTTAGCACTGATTAAAAGTGAGTGAATGTGAAAAAAACTTTACACTAGGTACTTTTAATGAATCTAAATAAAACATTGTTGGGTACATTTCTTAGAATTCCAGCGATTTGAAGTGTAGCAGTCAAAATGACAGCTCTGGGAGTTCTAGTAGTTGCAGAATTCTAGGGGTCCTAATATTTTGGTTGGGTATTGGGTAAAAAAACACTGTCCCTTATTGTCTCATGTTTCTCTGACTTTCCACGAAACATAATCAACTAAAAGAGATTATTATTTACTTAACGGCCTTTCTCTCCTTAATACCATTTTCCCATAATACATTTTGTCCCAACAGAAGATTCTTGTGAAAATAGAATCTTGCTTATGAGAAGAGTCAGATTCAGATTCATTTATTTGCCATTTGCAGTAAAACCACATTGGAAAAACTGTGCAAGACTTCCCCAGTGTGCACCAGACGGTTACATGTTACGTCCTTGTAAGAAAGCCCTGTGAGTCACTTTTTGACACTTTGGGGTGTGTGTTGATTGGCTGAGTGACCATGGTCCTCTGTTTTCCACTTTTCTGTCTGAAAAATCTGATCTCAAAGTGTGACCGTGGCCAAAAAACAGGTGAAAACTCCAGTGACAGAACCAAACAGATTTGAGAGCGAGGAGCTAGTTACACATGGATTCGTTTTTTGCATCGTTCCAGTTTTATGGGGATCGGAAGTCAAGTACCTCAGCTTTTTAAAACATTCGCAATCAGCTCGAAACACGTGCCTATACATCTGTGGTCGCTGATTGCCTTTATTATCCCTGTTCAATGCCTCTTTCTTTCTTTGTTTTTACGGTCGGCTTGTCCATTTCTGTGCACTGACCGGAAACAAAACATCTGATGGCACGCTCCTAAATACATACATTTAGCCGATCACGTTTAGGCTGTTGTCTCTGAACGCACAAAGGGAGTCATTTGTGGCTAAATAGGGGGGAAATGCAGCATGACTCCTGATGTGAAGAGCAGAGACAGCACCAGTCGCACAAAAACCGACCGTGGCAGGATCCGGGTTAAGCGATAAGACAACACCAGCCGCTCCGACCGCTCCGATATCTTTATAATCAGATGTCAAGTATAGACTGGTTCATTTCCTTAAGTGGGATAGGAACAATAGTGATCAGCCTCCGTCATGAGCTGTGCAGAGTTCACGGCTCTACGGACTGCAGCCGCTAATTGGATAAGTTGATGGTAATAGATAATGAATCCGATTGTCATGCAAGTAATTGGGACAAGAATGGAAGAAAGAGACCTGCTGCATTCCACTGCATAGAGTTTTGACGTTTTGATTGCGTTCTGAAAATTGTTTATTGCGTTATTAGAAAGGGAATCTTCTCTGGTGGCGGGTTCTATACAGTCTGAGACGTGGATTCATGGTCTTAGTCCTGGATCTGCAGCCTGAGTCCTGGATCTAAAGCCTTAGTCCTGGATCTGCAGCCTTAGTCCTGGATCTGCAGCCTGAGTCCTGGATCTGCAGCCTTAGTCCTGGATCTGCAGCCTGAGTCCTGGATCTGCAGCCTGAGTCCTGGATCTAAAGCCTGAGTCCTGGATCTGCAGCCTGAGTCCTGGATCTACAGCCTTAGTCCTGGATCTACAGCCTTAGTCCTGGATCTACAGCCTCAGTCCTGGATCTAAAGCCTCAGTCCTGGATCTACAGCCTCAGTCCTGGATCTACAGCCTTAGTCCTGGATCTACAGCCTTAGTCCTGGATCTACAGCCTCAGTCCTGGATCTAAAGCCTCAGTCCTGGATCTAAAGCCTCAGTCCTGGATCTACAGCCTGAGTCCTGGATCTAAAGCCTGAGTCCTGGATCTACAGCCTGAGCCCTGGATCTACAGCCTGAGTCCTAGATCTACAGCCTTAGTCCTGGATCTGCAGCCTCAGTCCTGGGTCTACAGCCTCAGTCCTGGATCTACAACCTCAGTCCTGGATCTACAGCCTCAGTCCTGGATCTACAGCCTCAGTCCTGGATCTACAGCCTCAGTCCTGGATCCACAGCCTGAGTCCTGGATCTAAAGCCTGAGTCCTGGATCTACAGCCTCAGTCCTGGATCTACAGCCTCAGTCCTGGGTCTACAGCCTCAGTCCTGGATCTACAACCTCAGTCCTGGATCTACAGCCTGAGTCCTAGATCTACAGCCTCAGTCCTGGATCTACAGCCTGAGTCCTGGATCTAAAGCCTGAGTCCTGGAATTACAGCCTCAGTCCTGGATCTACAGCCTCAGTCCTGGATCTACAGCCTTAGTTCTGGATCTACAGCCTCAGTCCTGGGTCTACAGCCTCAGTCCTGGATTTACAGCCTCAGTCCTAGATCTACAGCCTTAGTTCTGGATCTACAGCCTCAGTCCTGGATCTACAGCATCAGTCCTGGATCTACAGCCTTAGTCCTGGATCTACAGCCTCAGTCCTGGATCTACAGCCTGAGTCCTGGATCTACAGCCTGAGTCCTGGATCTACAGCCTCAGTCCTGGATCTACAGCCTCAGTCCTGGATCTACAGCCTCAGTCCTGGATCTACAGCCTGTCCGTCTGTGGAAGCAGATCCCTCTCTCAATCTGGGCCTTCCTGAAGTTTTCTTTCTTGTTTTTCCAACTGTTTTTTTTTTTTCCTTTTTC